TTATTAAAATAGAGAATGGGGGAGACAAGTCAAAAATGAACAATTTAAAAACTAGGCTGCCTCTATTATGGATAATTGTTCATCAAAAGAGGTAAAACTGTTTGTTTTGCAATTGGCAGTAGGGACGATGTGTGACATAATTGGATCACAAAGTTACTAAGAATCACTACCAATCTGTTTGGATTGAATTGGTCTCAACCTCATGGACTTGGATAAAGGTACCTTCTACATAAACAATAACATAGAAAAACAAATAACATTTATCATAGACCACATAGGATATGAGTCAAAAGTTCAAAATACACCAGGTTGCAAACTCATTTGATGAGCTTGTTTGTGAATTGTAAGATGAAAGACTCACCCAGTTGGGTTATAGAACTAAGATAAAATCAGAATAATGCAGTAGCATTGCTAAAACAATAATATCTCGCTATGTAAATTAGAACACTAAAGAAGACACACACACATCTACTTTGAAAATGCAAAGTTATGCATGTAAAGTACATTCAGAAAGTTTGGTAAATAGATTTCATTTTTGACATGTCATTTCTTTAGTTATATTGAACTTGATTATGAGATTGATTTCAGCAAATATTAAATGAACATCATTCCAATCTCTTAGTTTCTGTTGAGTGCAGGACCATATGATTTTGTGCAAAACCCAGAACTATTTGGTTTCAAATTAGGGTATAATATGGAAATAGTTGTGTTATGAGTATCATGAGCCATAGAAGGATCGTGCATTTGCAGGGTGTAGGAGGAGTCAAGACGACTTCCATCTTCTCGCGCAATTTGCTGTAGATGTGGTGGCTGCTGCATCATCGGCTGCATTGGAGTTAAAGGCTGAATCTGCTGCTGCAATTGTTGTACTTGCATTTGCTGTTGAAGCTGGGGTTGTACTTGCTGCTGCAGCTGGCGTATCTGAGGCTGTGTTAGTTGAAATTGTGTTTGCATCAGCGCTTGTGGCTGTTGCTGTTGTAGCTGGTTGTGAGAGGTCACCTGCATTGCAGTTTGAACCTGGCTTAAAGCTGGTGTTGTGGTAAAAGAGGACGCACTCTGTCCCCATGAAGGAGGATAAATACCCATTGTGCGAGTGCGGTAAGCAAAACTTGAATCTTGATTTCCTACAGTGTCTGTTTGGATGCTAGAGGATGGTGTGGCTGATGAATCAGTTGCCAAAGTTTGCACAGGGTAATAGTAAGTATAGGGAATGGGCTGACCTGTATACCCTACCCGCACATTACCCATTCCTGAAATCAGCGGTGAGATAGCTGCTGATATTTGTTGTTGAGGTTTAGCAGATGACAAAGAGGTTGAAGATCTAGAGGTGGACACTGGTGTTCCTGCATTCTCGTCAGGTGTTTCCTAACACAAAGAAAACACAAGATACATCACAAGAAACATCTAGGAATGAGTATGGAGATTTGACAGGGAAAGGGGGAAGGGAAAAGGAAAGGAAATACCTCGGGAACTTATCAGCAGAACACAAGGCTCTTTAAAAATTTCAGACCCTGAAGGCAGAATTAAGATGGCAAAACATGGAAAACTAATTCAGGGCTCAAAACTTCTCAAATAACTCATAGGCTGTAGATGGTCATGCTATTACTGTTAAATTATTATGGTTAAATCACAATTACAGTTTATGTGTTAAAATGTTGTTCCCTTGAAATATATAATTGGACCAGGTTTGATCAAACTAAAAAAATTAATTATATACTTACGGAACTCGGAGGATTCATAACACCAAGCTTGGAAATGTGACCAAGAAGATTGAACGTTGTATTTAATGTTGAAGATATAATTTGCATTAGTTTCTCTGGCAGTATGGCAATCGGATCTTCAGATAATTTTTGTCCTGAAGCCTGTAGTTGCTGCTTCTGTTGTTTTTGTGCATCAATTTGTGTTGATACCAGTTGAACTTCCTTACGAAACTTTTGATAAACTCTTTCTAGGTCTTGATAGGTTTTTGCAGCAGCAGCTGGAGAAAACTTCTTTGATTTTTCACCATCTTCTATTATTTTTGGTGGGCGTTCCATTAAATACTGACACATTTTTACCCACTTGCGCAGTTCTAGGTCAACTTGGTCAACCTCGTTCCATAATTTTAGCTCATGGGCTGCCTCTTGCATAAAACGAGGCATTGCTCTTGTCTTGCTTGGGAGATTGCGGGAAATGGGATTTTCTGCTTGAGATGTATTACTACGCGAAGCCTGACTTCCAAAACTCACATTATCATCTTGGAAAGCAAGAGGTCGAGTGTCTTGAAGGGCAGGTTTTCCTCCTTGTGCCGAAGTTTGGTTGACAGAAACTTCCTGTTGAGTTTGAGAGGTTGAGGCAAAGCAGAGCGCCTGGGTTTGCTGGGCTTGATAAGCAGCTCGCTGGGCAGCCTGCACAATCTGCTGGTGCTGGGCAATAATAGTTGCTGCTGTTGGAGAACTTTTGGGTACAAGTGGCTGCGAGTTTGTCATTTGTTGTTGGTGGTGCTGCTGGTAAGGTTGCTGTAATTTTTGAATTTGTTGACTCTCCTGTCTGAAAGAGTTCTGTGCTGGGACACTAAGCTGTACGGACTGCTTCGAATTCACAAGACCTTGACGAGTTTGAGCTGGAAAATGAGGCTTCTTTGGCCAGGAGGCTCCATAAGCCACTGGCAATGTACTGTATTGAGAAGTATACTGTGAAGCAGCAGATGTGTCCTCCTGTGAAGATGCATATTTTTGTACTTGCTGGTATGTGTCAGTTGCTTGAACAAATTCTTGCCTCTGAGCACTTTCTGACAATTGCCCTGTGGGTTGATTTAACTGCAATTGGTATGAAGCTGCTGAGGAAGATATCATATTATTTTTGTCATCGTTTTCTTCATCATATTCATCATCATATTCATCATAATCATCGTCATCATCATAGTCATCAAAATCTTGACCAGCTTCGTCAGCATTGTCAACATAACTATCGTCAACATCTTTACACATATCATTTCCAGCAGACTGAATATCAATCGTTTTTTCGTCATGCTGATTCTGACTAATGTTAGCCTTCTTTCCAGATCCTGAGAAATTTGCTAAAGTTGTCTGCTCTTTAGGTAATTTGTTGACCTGAATAGAAAGCAAATTTTAAATGAAATTAGAATTTAGAGAAATTTGCAGGTAGATAGAAAATTAGTGATGGGTTCATCAACCTATTTCAGCACATTTTTACCTGTTTTGCACTGATTTTCTTAGAACATTCTTGGAAAGAAGAATTTTTCTTGTTTCCAAAATTCTCCTTTGGATGTCTTGAACCATCTCGATTTTTACTAGTCTCTGGTTTGGCAACCATTTCATTTCTGTTCTTTTGGTCTGGCTTACATAGAAAGCCACCTACAGACAAAAACGTTAGCATGCCTCATACTGCAAAATTGGGAATAAATGATAATTTTATTCTAGTTAGCTCACCTGGGGCAATGACATTGAAGCATGAGGGTAGAGGAACATCAATAAAATCCTCACGTATCTGATCAGGTTCAGATTCACTTTCGGTCACACTGATTTCACCAGAGTATATGCTCATATTTTCATCATCCTCAATGGGGCACGTGCAGTCTGCACACTGACACTCATTCCCATCACAATCATTCCCTTGTTCGTCATCAGAGAGAGGAATGTCATCTTCCGGCTAAAATATTTTTGATGGTATAGAAGCATGGCATTTTTATTACTTTATCAACCATTACATATACATTAACTAAAAATAATAGGAACTTACCTTAGGTATTGTGTCTGCGGAATCTTTCTTTAGTGTCATGGCACTCTTTACTATACTGGAGTTACTTGAAGCTGAGTAATTGTGATCCGATTCAGTTTGCCTGCGTAAAAATTGTTTTATCGTAACAAATTTTGACTGTTGTACTGATTTCTCAATTTCATCCATGAGAACTTACTGTTTTAAATTGGTAAGCACTGAAGATGTTTTTTCTATCTGCGCTGCTTGCAGAGAGGCAATCATACTATTCATTTTTTTTTGTTCTGCAATATATGGTTCCAAAAGAGTCTCAAGATCAGTCATAATCTCGGTTTTAAGCTGAAAAAAAGAAATAAAAATCTCAAATGAAGAATATTATTATTTACAACAATAAAACTAAGCAAAAGCTGAAAAGAATTTTGCTAATACCTCCTTCAAATGTTTTTCCAACCACGCTTTAGATATTTCAGACTTTGAGGCACTTGCAAAGGCTTCATCTGACAAGGGTTCACTGAAATTTGTAAGATAGAGTTAAGAAAGAACTATGAATCCAAGCAAATGTTGGGTAAACATTACTTACATATTGGGTGGGGCATCTGCTTTCACTCTCTTTGGCATCCCTTTCATAGGTTTCTTTGTAAAACCATTCTCAGAAACTTTGGGTGTCACTTTAGCTTTGTTTTTCTTGACCTTTTTTTTACCATTCTTAAGACCATTTTCAGTTTCAATCTTCATGGTTGTGAATTTACCTTTATCTGTGCGCTCTCCAATAAACTGCAAAAACAAAGATTGCTTTCAGATAGTAAAGGGAAGTTCACTCAATAAATAATAACAGAGCTCATGAATTGGATACCCACTTTCAAAGCCTCCTTAAACTCGACATCGCCATCAATGGGAACCTAGAAAAATGTCTCAACAATTAAAGGAACCTTCTGAAATTTGTTTTTAACTTCTAATGGACATAATACTTACCTCATCGTTGTCACTATCAATGTAGTATATGCGTGTAACAGGCTTCTTGCAGATGGCAGCCTTCCAAAATAAGTAGAAAACCGTAAAGAAATGTAAATTTAATAAAATAGATACTGCTTGGTCACATAACCCTGACAACTAATACTGACCATGCTGTGAAGAACTTCATCATACACATCCTCATCGTCTATAAAATAAACACCATCAGTTCCTCTGAATACCGGATACTCCAATTTATTCCATGTTTTCTCAGTTTCCATCACTTTCTTGTTGGCTACCAGCAGCTTTACAGGTTTTCCTGTGCTAGGCGCCATTGTCCAAAAGGATGTGTCAATATTTTCCACTCCTGAATCACTGAAAAATTTAGGACAAAATACTGTTAATTAGACGGTTCTTGCATTGGTTTTGGAAATAGATATCATACACATACAGTATAGGTATGAGAGACATGATAACGACAGACTTCTTCACAAAATAAACAAGCAGACTACAGACAGTAATACCAACAAGAACAACAACAAAAACAAAAAGAGGCCAAACAGACAGCTGTACCAACATTCGAAAAGTGTCACAAGTTTGTTTTCAGTCAGTTTAAGGTGCGTTTCTCGAAGGTGGCAGAAACGTTTCTATCCAAGAAAACGTTAGAAATCGTTATGGAGTGACTATGTTCCATCATGTCTTGATTGTCAGTTGCCTTGCAGTAGAGAACAGAAAAATTCCCTCTACTGGACATGATCATGAACCCACCAAGAAAACAAAGAAATCAAATGTTAGCGCTCATGAAACAAGTGGAGAGCCTCTAGAACCGCGTATTCGTCATCGTGCGATATTCTGCTGGCTGCTCTCACTCACCCTGCCCTAGCGTTCGATGGCCCTGGACGCCGCCCTTGCCTTATTTGCCCCAGCAGCTAGCACTTGGACTATAGTTGCGAGATCCCTGACTGGCCTGCTCTGGCCTCGACGCACCTGCACCTGCGCACTGCGCCCGTTGATTCGGTGGGTGGGCGTTGTGGTGCTGGCCGCTTGCAACCGCTCAGCTTTGCTGCACCCGCCCAGTGCTGGAGGATGCGCTTCGGTGGGGGGCTAGTGCTCGACTGCGACCTGGCTGGTCCTGTCCTGCCCTCACCACCAGCCCCTACCCAACCCAGCCCCTGGCCTCAAGCCCCCAGACACGTCTCGGCGCCCCCACCCCCTACCCCTACCGCACTGGGAGGACTGGGAGGCAGACCCCATCCCCCAGAGCCAGAGCGCCGCCAGCGCGAGGCGGCCATTGATTTTCCGAAGTGCGCAGCTTCCTGGCCACGCGGCTAGCGCTGTCACCGTCTCACCCTTCGCAGAGAAAAGACGGACCTTCTCCGGACAAATAACTGAGAAACGGGTCACATCATTTACCCCCCCCCACCCTTTCCTCCCCTTGTGTAACCGCATGCAAGCCACCCCTTCCCCCGCCTATTGTAAGGGTACTCCGCTGGCTCGGTCGGCGCCTTGGGATGCAGTCCCGTTGCACGAGGCTGCATTCGGGTTGCCTACCCAACCCACTCGTAGGGCGCTGACCGGCGCTGACCATGTAGACTCGATGCTGAGTTGAGCCACTCGGCCTTTCAGACGCCACTTCCCAATGAGTTTTTCGCACAAGAATTCTGTCTTCGCTAAAATGCCGACCGATGCATTCTTGGTCGATGGGTCGTCTGTACATTTGACGCGACAAAGACAACGAAAACAATGGGCAATCACACGCCAACGTCACGTGGTAAAGCTGTCTCGCAACACTCCAGGAGCCCGTGACCACACATGCGTTACGAATTTTGTTTATCTGCGCCCGGGGCAAGATGGTATGGGGATATAAGCAGCAAGCACACACACACACACACACACACACAAGCGTGTATAGTACATTTTCGTAAGCTGCAGCAGTGTGTGTGTGAGTGTGTGTAAGCTCGTCCTCATCTGGTCTCCTCACTCCCCTACAGGCCCTTTTTCATCTATTTGCACTCAGCTCCCTAAAGCTGTTTACTTTCCGGGCAGAGCGAGTGCGAATGCTGCCTGACCCAACATCATTGCGCTGTACCGCTCGGCTTTTCAACACCATAGGTGTGACGGCACTGAGAACTTTGGAGGGAAAAAGGCTCGGAAAAGGGGGAGGGGCGATCCTCACTATCACTATGTTGAGGGGCCCGATGGGGCGAGCGTCGTCACTCGTCACCTGCCTCCACTGTTGTGTCGTGGCCCTGGCACACGGTACGGTGCAGCGCAGCATTCGCTGGGGTGTGCTTTATGATGGTCATAGACTGCACTGAACATAAACCGACAGCACAGACCTTAAATGTGCACCCATTAGCTGGGGGAGCGGTGCAAAGTTCAGAGTGTCGCGATGATGGGTACTCTGCCGAATCCTGCGGGAGATAGTAGTAACATCCCAGAACTGGGCGGCCTTGTTTCAGTCCGAGCGGACATCCGATGGCGCTGATTGGTCTCGAACTTGTACGTATACCCCCTATGTAACGACCCGGTAGCGAATAAGTTGGGGCAAAGGCTGATCAGGACAAGGCAAAAGTCGGGGCTGAACGAGGTAGAATCTTAACTTTGAATTCTGCGAATGGAATTGGCTCGCGCTTAGAAATTAGACTTGAATCGAACTGACACTTGTGATTAGTTATGGTGCACACCAAGCTGGACAGTTCTGTAGGTCGCGCGCGCGCTACAAGGAGGGCAGGTCCGCGGTGGTGGTTGAACAGACAAAGCAGGGCAGTGTCACGGTCTCGCGCGCGGCGGCAAAAAACTATTGAGAGTCGAAAACTCGGGACATAACTCGTCCGCCCCCTGCCCCTTCTCTGCCCGCCTTCGTCTTTGGTCTTTCCTCATCCCTTCCCCCCTCCTGCCGGCTGAGTAGGACCCTGGAGCATCCCGTGGGCCCGCGGTACTCAGCGACATTGGACAAACAATAAGCGCAGCGCGGTCGCGAGCTCCGGCAGCAAGTCTGAGCGCGTGCCCTGAGCGGAGCAGAGCCATGAGGTTCACGCTGGTCCAGGTGTGCGTCGGGGCGGCGGGCGTCGCCGCCCTGGTCTACGTCGGCTACCTGGTCAGCCGCCTGCTCGCCATTGTCACCGAGGTGCGCCGCATGAAGGTGAGATTTCGAAAAATTGGTTGCACTGACGGGTGTTATATGCGGGCCGCGAAACCAAACAAACGACTCGCCGTCCAACTCCGTTGTTTAGAAAGTCCTCGGAGACACCCCGCCGGGCCCGCGCTCCTTCCCCATCCTCGGCAACGTCCTGGAGCTGCTCGCACCGCGCAACGGCTTCTGGTCCAAGATGGTCGCCCTGGTGCAGAAGTACGCGCCCACCTTCCGCTTCTGGGTCGGTCCGAACTGTTTCATGGTCATCACCCACCCGAGCGACTTTGAGTACGTGCTCAACAACCCCAAGTTCAACGAGAAGTCGTCCTGGTACCCGTTGGCCCAGTCGGCCCTGGGCACGGGGCTCATCGTCCTCGGCGGCGAGCAGTGGAGGCGACACCGCAAGGCCGTGGCGCCGTCCATGCACCAACAGATCATCACGCAGAACGTCCAGGTAAGGTACACGGCGCCTCGCCTCCAGTGGGTGTCCCATCAGTTTAATGTGCTGGCCGGTGCTGGCCGACCAGGCTGTGTCTACTGCAGACGCCCGTGAACGGCTGGTTGCCTATCCTCAGTCCATCAGGCGCTTCACTCAGCGTCCGAAGCTCCTGGACGTAAAAGAACTCGTGGAGATAATAAGCAGCCGGTTTGAAACCCGGTGGTGCTGTTGACGCCAACAAGAACGATCTCTTTCGAGGTTGAGTTACATTTGTTAGTCTGGGAAAGTTAAGTCAAGTTCACCTCGGGACCTCGCGTTTCCCTTATATGCCCTGTGGGAAAAGGGAAAATTTAGAGTCGAGCATTTTTGTTTGTTTCGCCGGTTGCATAGCCGCTACGTTAGTATGTCCAGGGTTTCCAGCTTGATCGAGATCGAGCATTGGCAACTTATTGTAGATAACCTTTGGGACCCAGGCCTTGTCCGCAGTCGTACAGTCGTCATAACGCCATAGCCTCTGCCTAGCGCACGCCTCGCCCCGCGTCGCGGACATGCCATTGACGTCACCGACTGCGGAAGAACAAGGGTGACCCATTCGGGGGGCGCCTTTCCCGCCACAAGTTTGAATCGGTGGCCTCGCCTCGCTGTGGCTAGCGGGCTACGCTGCGTGTGCGGCTGCGGCTGACGTAGACCCTCCTCCTACCTACAGCTCTCGCGTCGTCGAGTCGGGCCAAGCTGTGAGCTGTGACGAGTCCAGAAACGGACCAGCACTGTAGTGCGCAGTGAGGCTACATAGATTCAAATAAAGGGGCGGGAAAATTCTATCTTGAGTGGGGAACCGTTTAGGGGAAGCGCCACCACGCGCCAGGCGCGACCAGGAGCCACCGCGAGACCACCCGTGACCGCACTGCCACACCCGAACACGCGCCCCTCCGAAGAAACGACACCGTCGCATCTTCCTGACCACATGCAGATTTAGTGGGCGTAACGCTCTCAAGTGTGAAGTTTGAATAGTGTCGCATTGGCTTTTCATGATTGGTCCTTCCCCATTATGACGTCCTCCAAAATAACCTCGCGTTTCTTCCGCGGCTCGTGACCGCATCGCAGCCGCAACGACGATCCGAAAGAGCCCCGCACTTAGGACGATCACCGGAGACACGTTGGTTGGCCTACACAGCAGGCGTCCCCGACCGCCCTCTGACGTTACATTACGGAAGTTAATTACAGCCATTTACGCTACGCAGTATTTTGAGACCGACGCATGCAATTAATTAAGGAATTATTTTCGTCATGGGACCCGGTTAGCCCACTAAATTAATAGTGTGGGATATTTAGGAATAGCCGACTCCTAAAGCTACCGAGATAGTGAACAAGTAACGTTACAAAAAAAAAAATCGAATCAGTTAGGGTCCCTGTCCTTGTGTAATCTGACGCAACTGTGTCCCTGAAGATGTTCTACCGCAAAGCCCTGGACATCTCCGAGGAGGTGCTGTCCGCGGCCGCCCAGTCCGGCGCCACGCTGGACATCAAGGACTTCTGCAACACGGTGTCGATGGACGCGGTGTGCGAGACGATCCTCTCGGCGGACCTGTCCTCCTCTCGGGAGGCGCTCAAGCGCTTCGTGGACGCGAAGAACAAGAGCTGCGACCTGGTGGCGTACCGCGTGTACAACCCCTGGCTGCTGAGCGACAGGGTCTACTCGCTGACCCGCGAGGCGCGCGAGGTGCGGCGCATCGAGAAGCTCACGGACCGGTTCGTCGACGAGGTGATTGCCAAGAAGCGCGACCGCGACCACGTCCCCTCGACGGCGGAGCCCTCCCCCAAGAGGCGCTCCTTCCTGGAGCACGCGCTGGCCGACGCGACCGTCGCCAAGCTGATGAACGACGAGGAGCTCCGGGAGGAGGCCAAGGCCATGGTGATCGCCGGAGAAGGCTCCGTCGCCACCGCCATGAGCTTCACCCTGCTCATGTTGGCCATGCACCCCGGCGTGCAGAAAGCCGTGCATCAGGTGAGTGGAGTGAGAGAGGGTCACTCAAAACCAAACACTTGGCTCTTACAGCGTGAGGGGGGGGGAGCTTTGGTGCGCGTCTCACGACAGCCTACGCCGCTTACAGGAGCTCGAGGACGTGTTCGGCGACGACCCCGACCGGCCGGTCACCGAGGACGAGGTCCCTCACCTGCAGTACCTGGAGCGGGTCGTCCTCGAGACCCTGCGACTCTTCCCGATCGTGGCGGTCTTCGGACGGAACTGCCCCGAAGACATTCAGCTGCCCAGCGGCTGCCCCGCGCCCAAGGACAGCCAGCTGCTCTTCTTCACCTACCACATGCACCGCGACCCCGCGTGGTGGCCCCGCCCGCTGGAGTTTGACCCCGACAGGTACGTCTCGGACAGGGTGTGTAATCAGCCGTGAGCAAGATGCGTCCTCCTAACGCGGTGCTCCGCTGCTCCACCAGGTTCCTGCCCGAGCAGACGCACACCCGCCCGCCGCTGTGCTACGCCCCCTTCAGCGCCGGGCCGCGGTCGTGCATCGGCCAGCGCTACGCCATGATGTACCTCAAGACGGCGCTCGCCACGGTGCTGCGGCGCTACGACGTGCACCGCGCGCCGGGCGACGTCCACGAGGTGGCCGACCTCCCCCTCGAGATTGGCGTCATCCTCACCATGCAGGGCGGCTTCCCCCTGAGAGTCAGCAGGCGGCAGGACGCGCAGTCATCGGCTGGAATCAAAAGCAGCGTTTTCAAATAAAACAGAGATTGTAAGTCACGAGGCTCACCCTTCCCCTCCCCCTCCTGCCTGCATCTCACCGCGGTGACCCAAACTTCTTAAGAAGTGCAAGGGCCATCCGCTGGTTTCTTTAATTTATTTTGTCTACTATAACCAGTCGCATTACGTTGTGCTTTGCGTCCCGACTACCGCTCTCCACAAAACTGCGGGTAACAAACCTTCAGCGTTAGTTATCAGTCTTCTGGCCCTGCGGCCCTTCGCCAGAGGGAGGAAGTACGCGGCGGGCGACTTCCAAAAGGGGGGCGGCCGTTGCGTGGCGGGGCAGGGCAGGGCGTGGCGTGGCGTGGCGGGGCAGGGCGTGGCGGGGCGGGGCAGAGCGAGGCGTGGCGTGGCGTGGCGTAGCGTGGCGTGGCGTGGCGGGGCAGGGCGTGGCGGGGCGGGGCAGAGCGAGGCGTGGCGTGGCGAGGTGGAGCGGGGAGGAGCGGGACCGGGTTGAGCGGGACGAGGAGGCTAGAGGTGCGGTATGAGGCGAGCCTGAGCGGGCGCAACAACTGTCTTGCCGGCTCGTCTGCTGCGTAGCCCAACTGTACGGGGCGGCCGTCCGCCGTCCAGCCGCGACGTTGGAGAGAATTGCTGCATGAAGGCAGAAGGCAGGCTTTCCTTCTTCGTTATATATAGGATCGTCTAGAAAGTACTTCCGTTTCTCTCCGATTCATCGGGCAGATTGGGGAGCCTGACGCCTGCGAAACTCGGGGTAGGCCACCCCGCAAGACACGCATGCACTGCAGGCAAGATATTGCCTATCTAGCAGGCGCTAGGAGAGCCTGCATTGAGTCTTTAGTTAAGTAACGTTACAAAAACGTAACGTACAATAAGGTATGGGTGGACAAGTTTCTTTTCTGTAACTGTAACGCAAAAACGTTAAGCTACTGATCCCTGTCTGCCCCCCCCCCTTCCCCCCAGCCGGAGGCCAGCTTGTTGGTTCAACAGTCGACAGCACTAGGGGTAACGCCCGCGCGAGGCGGCCGATAGGAGTGACGCGAGCCAACCGGGGGCGGCGGGGGCAGGGGAGGCGTCGGGGGCGGCCGAGACGCACTCAGGTGGGGGGTGGGGGGCCGCCGGGGCAGCCACCTCCTGCGCTTTGCCTTCTGCATTTTCGACACTCACCCCTGCGTCTCACAAATAGAAAATTGTGATATTAAGTTTTCTGTGCGTAACGTGCATTGCTGAAATCTGTACGTTGTCGAGGACAGATGAAGGGATCGAGGGAGAGGGAGACAGGGAGAGAGAAAAAGGGGAGGGGGGATGAACGATTTTCAGATGTTCCATCGAGATGTATATGCAGCAAAGGTTTCTGCCTGTAAGCCTTAGTGCAGAGTGGCAGAGCGAAAGAAACAAGAAAGCAAGAAGATGTGTAAAGCGCAGCTGCTAACGCCCACTAGGAAGGCTAAATCTTGGTTGGCGTACAGCCGAGCTGAGCGGGTGGCCTATCACCGGGCCTGCAGGGGTTCAGCTTGGCGTCCCACATACGGGGTTGGACTTCCATAGCGGTGAAGCGGTGAAGCGAGAAGGAGACGGACTCGTGGCAGGCCGTTAAGACGTTCCCTGCGACATGGCCACTATGTGGTCACACTTCCATCTTAAATCACAGGCATCAATAATGAGCCGCAGGGAACTCGAACAAACGTGTGCAATTTCTTAAATTCCGTGTGCAACCAGGCTGATACCGCTAGCAGTTCACCCAAGGAAATGAGTGCCATTTGAAACAACCGTTCTCTGACGTCAAAGGCTGTGCACCGAGTGATGTTCAAGATAGACAGGACGGGATGGAGGGGAAGGGAGGGGAAGGGAAGGGATGTCTTCTATTCGGTACCGTGACTGTGAAAGTTATTCGAATGAAACACACCGCAGGAGGCACAACCGAGCCTGCTTACTTATTGCTATAAAAACAATCTGACACCTGAACCTTTCTGACATCTCCCTCTTTCTCTCTGTCGCCGTTGCGCAGTAAGTGCGGCGCGCGCCCGCCCGCCTCAGTCGCCTCTTTGATCGTGTACCGCGCGCCTGGAGCCCCCCGGGCCGGAGCAGGTGTCCCGTGAGCGCGTGCCGTGCCGTGTGGCAGGTCCTCTGGTCGCACCAGAGCACGGCGATGGAGGGCGGGGCCTGGGTCTGGGGCGATGAGGTGCAAGCAGAAGAGAGGTGCGGGGCGTATGTTGTCGCGGGCCTCATCCTGGCCGCGCTGGCGGCCGCGGCCGGCCTGTGCCTGGTCACCCTCGTCTCCAGGGTGGCGGTCGGGGTGCGGGCCACGCGTCGCATGCGGAGGGTCCTGGCGCCGATGCCGGGCCCGGCCGCGCTGCCAATCCTCGGCAACATCCCGGAACTGTTGACCTCGCAGGACAAGTTCTGGACCAAGATCACGACGCTCATGTCGCGGTACGCGCCCACCTTCTGCTTCTGGCTCGGCCCCACGCCCTTCGTCGTCATCACCGACCCCCGCGACTACGAGCACGTGATGGGCAGCGCCAGGTTCAACGACAAGTCGTCGTGGTACCCGCTCGCCCGGGCCGCCCTGGGCACGGGGCTCATCACGCTGAACGGCGAGCCGTGGCGCAGGCACCGCAAGGCCATCGCGCCGTCCCTGCACCAGCACGTCCTCGTCCAGAACGTGGAGGTAGGCGTCGTCATGCCCGTACTTGCAATTCCCCGCCCGCAGCTGATGCCGGGCTCTCGGCCTGGCCCCGCCATGCTCTGCACCGCCTCCCCCAGGTATTCCGTCGCAAGGCATGCGAGCTGTCGCACATGCTGTCGCGCGCGGCGCGCTCCGCCGAGACCGTCGACATTCTCGAGTTCTGCAACCTGGTGTCCATGGACTCGGTGTGCGAGACGCTGCTGTCCGCCGACCTGTCGCACCACGGCGCGGCCCTGGGCCGCTTCGTGGACCTGACGACGGACGCGGCGAGGAGCGTGACGACGCGCATCTGCAAGCCGTGGCTGCTGTGGGACAGTCTGTACGCGCTGACGAGGGCCGGCAGGACGGCGGCGCGCACCATGCAGGAGACGGACGCGTTCATCGACGGCGTCATCGCCAAGAGGAAAGACGGGGATCGAAAGGTGCGTCTGACAAGGGAACTCATCTAAGTGTTAGTCCCCGATTTTGTTCCGCCTTGGAGGTTTTGTATAGTGACCGTATTCGAAACGATTGGCAATGAAAATTCGTGCCCAATTTCATATTCGTATTTATAGGGGAAATCCATTTTCTCCAGAAATGACTAAAAAAAGCATTATTTCTGAAAAAACCAAAAATGACCGTCAGTTTATATTTGTATTCGGCCTTAAATCGACATTTTAAAATTGAATACATACAAGCTGTGGATAATTTTTCGATTTTTCAGAAAAAATGCTTTTTTAAAGTCATTTTTGGAGAAAGTGGATGTACCCCATAAATTTAAATATAAAATTGGGCACGAATTTTCGTTGCCAATCGTTTTGTTTACGTTCACCCTACAAAACCCCCAAGGCGGAACAAAATCGGGGACTAACACTTAGATGAGTTCCCTTGTGAGAGAAAACATACCGAAGGTAGTCCGGGGGTCGCTTCATCAGGCCTACCATTTGACGAGGGTGTTCATTGTGTCCAGGATGCCGCTAAAGTAACCAAGCGGTCCTTCCTGGAGCACGCCCTGGCGAGCGAGAACCTGGCCAACCTCATGACGGCCGAGGAGTGGCGCGAGGAGGCCAAGGCCATGGTGGTGGCCGGCCAGGGCACGGTGGCGCACTGCCTCAGCTTCGCGCTCCTCCTGCTCGCCATGCACCCCGACAGCCAGGATCGCCTCCGTCGGGAGCTCGAGGACGTGTTCGGCGAGGACCCCGACCGGTCCGTCACGGAGCACGAGCTGCCCCACCTGCAGTACACGGAGCGCGTCATCCTCGAGACGCTGCGCCTGTTCCCGCTGGTGCCCGTGTTCGGCCGGGACTGCCCCGAGGACGTGCAGCTGCCCAGCGGCCACGCCGTGCCGCGCGGCGCGCACCTCTTTATGTTCCCCTTCCACACGCAGCGCGACCCTGCGTGGTTCCCAGAGCCCTTACGCTTTGACCCAGACCGGTGTGTTCACATAAGTCTACCGTAGATGACTTCGTAAGATCCCCCAGTGTACTATACCACAACCTTCGCCTCCGCTTCCAGGTTCCTGCCCGAGCGGGTCCGCGGCCGGCCACCGCTAAGTTTCTCCGCCTTCAGCGCCGGCCCGCGTTCGTGCATCGGCCAGCGCTACGCCATGATGTACCTCAAGACGGTGCTCGCCACGGTGATGCGGCGCTTCGCCGTGCACCGCGCGCCGGGCGACGTCAGGGGGGTGGCGGACTTGCCCATTGAGATCGGCGTCATCCTCAGCCTTGACGGGGGCTTCCAAGTCCGAGTGTCGGAGCTCGGGGATCCTCCCTCAAGCGCCCAAGCCGCCACCCGTCACATCCACTGAATCTTTGGTTTGATGGCTGTGCTTCACTTTGACTTATGCCTGAACTCAATTTTTGTCTAGCGGGGCTTTACAAACAGAGGCCATATTGTTTGTCAATTTTAGTTGGCCGCATCTGCCCATTCATATTCCCACTAATGAAAAATAAGCACTGATATGGACCAAGGTCTATCGTAGCAACAAAAACAAACCATTAAACGGCTCCGTCAAGTTGAAACTTGTTGATCGAAAAGTGAATCTACTGATACCCCTTTGTACACACAAGTAGTTTTCTATGTACTGTAGTATTGGCATGCGTACGGCTAACGGTGGTGGCCGCCTATGACCGCCTCACCAATTTCCAATGTGGGGGCCACCGCGCCGTCTCGCAGATCCCACATGGTGTCGGTGTGGAGGGGGCCGTCCCGCCCCGCACGACTGATGCGCACTGCGGGTGTGCCTAGCCCTCGTCTCACAGGGGCTCGAGCCTCTCCGCCCGCGGTACTAGACATACAGACAACTGATCATTTTTCTAGAGGCATCAAGGATTCCAGGATTCGAAAATTTTTCCGAGGCCGTGAAGTATATGTGGCATACGTGCAAAGAACTTGCGACAGAGCAATGGGAAATAACTGACACATGTTTAAGCTGTTTAAGCTCTGCCGCCAAAATACTATTTTCGGAATATTTCAAAGAGGGCGGCGACATTTGAACGCTGCGCCGCTGCTCAGAGGTTGTCCAGTTAAGACGGATCCGTGCGGACCCGTGCGGACGCACACGGATTGTGCGGAACTTTGCGGAAGCACGTTTTAAAAGGCATTGGTGGGTCTAAAAATGGTTGCATATGTGTTCACTAACATATGTTTGGAAAAAGGAACATTGTTCTACAAAAATAATGCCACTTTTTAGCCATATGCTTATAAAGTACAGTAAAACCTCCCGAGAATAAAATGGCTTAAAAGTGGCATTACTTTTGTAGAACAATGTTCCTCTTTCCAAATATATGTTAGTGAACACACATGCAATCATTTTTAGGCCTGCCAATGCGTTTTAAAACGTGCGTCCGCAAAGTTCCGCACAATCCGTGTGCGTCCGCACGGATCCGCACGGATCCGTCTTAACTGGACAACCTCTCAAGCAGACGACGCTGGATGCTCTCTTTGAAGGGGGAGGCTGAGAACGCTGAGAACTTTCTTCATGATTTCGTCGCTTATTTGCCCTTGTTATCACTATGAAAAAACCACAGGAGCCTGCACCTGGTGACGGCATACGTTCGCTGAAGACCTCTAACGTATTTCGAGTTGTCAACTTTGAGTTGTATGCTAAACCGGTCAGTATTGACCATTTTTGGTGTCAAGGTTGGGTTATGGGTTACCTGTTTTGATCTCTTTATCTTACTATTTTATTCTTAAAATGAAATCATTTTTGAGGATTAAGGTTTAATAAATCTACCTTACTTTTAATGTTATCTATGGGTAAACTTGGGTTTTGTAGATTCAACATTTAGCTATCACTTTTATAATTAGTAAAGTGACCTGCCAACGGATGCTATCCGTGTTTCAAATCTGTTTTATATTTGTGTGATTTTTCTTTGCAGAATAGAATTATTATGACGATTGGATTGTGTGCAATGGCTGGCAGTTTAGCATATATTGCATACATGAGACATAAATACGAAGGAATGGGCTACTATGTTGCAGTCTCCGATAATGGAGAGGAATCATTTGTTAAGAAGAAGTCTCGGTGGGATTGACCTCGGATGCATGTTAAGACATGTTATTGGCTAATGGCTGGTATTTCTATGTTATATATTATGATAGTTAAACTAATTTACTGTCAATAAAAATTGATGAATATATTCTTTATTTCTATACCCCCCATACTAAAACCCAAATGTGTCATGTGGAACCAGCCAGGTGTTAATACACTATCTAAAATTTTTTAAATCTTCCTCTTTCTATTTTTTCATTTTTTTTCACTAAACTTTAACTTTCAGCTTCCTATAATAGGTGTTCTAGAGGAGATGTCTTTCAGCCACATGCCACTAGGTTTTTGAAACATGGCGCGTAAATTACGAAGGGAAGAAGAAAAGAAAGAAGTGGGAGAGGGAGGCGGAGAGCGTAGCTGAATTTTGTGTTTGCCGGTTGTCTCACACAATCAAGCCCAAACACAAACATTTACAGGGATTTAAATAAGCATCATTAGGATTGACGTCTGAAAATAACTTCCCTGTATTGTCAACCATGGCTTCTGGTTTGGAAAGCTATGTCAACCGTATCCTTTCTATTATCTAGGTTATTATTTTATCATAAGAATTCGGAAAGAGGTTATGGTGTTCATCTCTCTCTTGTTAAATTTGGTAATTCAAGGCTTATGGCATAATCTCTAAAAAGAATTTTGATTTTAAAAAGTATTTCCTAAACACAGTTTCAGATACAGTATCTATCATTACAGCTGATGGCCGAAATTTCATTGTGAGTATTTACATGGAACACTCCGATTAGTTCAAATGTTCGTTGTGCTCCTTTTCCCCTCAATGAACTAACCTGCTGTATATATTATGATTTCAGGGAACTTTGAAAGGTTTTGACCAGACTATTAATTTAATTCTTGAGGAGTCACATGAACGAGTTTACAGCACTACTACAGGTGTTGAACAGGTTGTCCTGGGACTCCACATTATCCGTGGAGACAATGTGTAGGTTTCTAATTTTGTAATTACATTGGAAGAAGAATTTTTCTAAGAAATTATTCTGATGAATGTTTTTTATTTCCAGTGCTGTTGTTGGAGAAATGGACGAAGATATTGACTCCCAAATAAATCTAGCAAATATCAGAGCAGAACCTTTAAGTACTATAGCTCACTGATAAAAGTGAAATAACTGGTTTTATGTTACTTAAAGAATTTTGTGATAGGTTTGTAAAACTTAGTCCATATTTCAAATACCTTGTGCTTGTCTTTGAGGGTCTTTTTTCTTTTTACAAGCTGTTACAAATTCCCTGAATTGACCTCAAAATAATAAGTTCAGTGGTTCTTTAGATTGCTTTTTTTATTGTTTTGGTTTTAAAGTCCAAGTACAGTTATACAGAGCCTAAGCTCTTCTTCATTATAACAAAACTAAATTACATTAAAAAATTCTTCGAACATTAGAATGCATTTGAATGCTTTGCTTGGTAACAGAACAGACATGGTTCAAGAAAAAAATAAATACAATTATTTTTACAGTGTATGGTGTACATGGAATGTTATGTTAAAATAGACCAACCACTCTAACATGTATTTAATTCTAGGTGTTTATGTTTAACTGAGAGGAGGAAACCACCACTCTCGCAAGGTCCATGAATAAATAAATGAACTGATTAAATTTCACCGGGACAAGTATGCAATGATTCATTAGCTATTCTGAGAAAAAAATGTTTTGGCACACTCTAGTTAGTTAGTGTAACCAGAAAACTAATTACATCAGGCTTCCTATTATCAATATCTCTCTGAAATAAAAGGACACAATTAGGAATCCTACACCAGGTGGGTTCTTACAAACGCATAATTTGAAAGTAAACTTATAATAGTAATGTGATGTAGAATAATAAATGAGATAAAAGAGAATAAAATACAGCATATGGCTACAGATTCAATGATAACTTATCAGTAATGGCTAGACATGTAAGAGTGCCAACAGTACCTGAAACAGTAAGCACAGGCCGCAGACAAAAATTACTGTGCATTGACTCTTCATTAAGACTGAAGTCCACTTGTCATGAAAATGAAAGAATATGACAAGTAAATCTAATGTTTATGAATATTAAGTGAGGACAAGATGACAAAATCTAGTGACACCCATAAATGTTAAGAAAATACATTTTCCAAGGAATGACAACAATCAAACTACCACAATTGGGATAAGGAGTATCTAAAATACACATACTTTTTATTGAATAGTTTTCTCTTCTTGACCACAGGCCTATCCTACAAACCATGGCACACTATTCAAAATGCAACAAATCTAAAGAACTGCAACTTCCCTAGATGTTCCATGGCAGACAAATATGTATCACAATGGCAAAAAAACTACTGATAGGTATAAGAAAAATCACATTGAAAGATAATACACCAGGAGGGAAAATTTTAGTTTTTCTCTCACAGGGTTTAATGATTTGGAGAATTACATAATGGACCCTAGAGTTGAGCAAAAGTCAAAGCTTTTCTATGAAAAATTGAAGCATTGGATTCTTTTTATAAGCTCACATCAGCACAGGAAGCTTGCAATATATCTAAATGTAAACACCAAATTGCTAAAATATTAGGGGGTGTGAGTAAATCTTATCCAAACATTTTTCCAAGAATTGTCAAGTCAACCAGCAAAGCACAATCAAATTTTGAAAAATACTGTACTGAAACTTACAACCAATTCTGCCTCAATGACGGTGGTCTCAAGTAGTACTACTTTCAATCTATGGCCATAGAGTAGAATAAAGATACAATAAATTATATACGTCTAAAATTACAACAAATAAGGGCAGTGTATAACAAGTACACAAAAATATTCTGAACACCAATGCACACACAACACTTTTCATTCCCTCAACATAAAATGTCATAAACAAGAAATCTAGGAATTCCTTTAAAAGGTGTACTTTCAGTATTTTAGAATATAAAAGCTGACGTGGTATAGCTGCCTTATGCGGAGTTTGTTCCAATCATTGCAAAACTTTCTAAAAATATTTCCCCTTCTCAACTCTCTAATTACACAGTACATATATTTTCCTAACAAAATAGAAAGGTCTGAGGTAAGCATTTTGAATTTGAGAGTTGAGTTTTCTCATTAAACTCCAAAGCATAAATAAAGAAAACAGGACCTTCTTTAGAAAAGGACTACAAAACCACAAGTTGATTGGAATGTGAATACATATGGTATTGGTTTTTGAAGGGTACTTCACCACAAGCCTATACAATATATCCTGCTTACTTCTGTAGTGCAGTTAGGATTTTGCCATTGAAAGATGGCACATTAAATAAAAATTACCAACAACTAAACTAGTCTGTCATTTTAAAAGACATTCATTTCATTTCATAGTTCAAACCAAGCATTTAGTTATGGATAAACAGGATAAAATTTTCTTGATCACAGACATTAAAATAACAATTAATAAATCACTCCCCCAAAATATATAATCTTCTTTGTAGATAATGAGGCACAAAGGCACAAAATCAAAGCATTGTTAAAGACGGAATACAATACCCAAAATGCAGTGACTTATCTGCATAACATTCTTGTGTATTTGCATAAGCTTAAGCAATATTAAATGAATTTTCACATCTAGCAACAAAACTTTTCTGCAGTTTCTTGCTCAGCATGTTGTCAAAACCCAAATTTTTCAGAGATATAATAAAAATACTATTTGTAAAATTAAGAATGGTAGTGCATCTGACTTGGTCAGAAAAATACATAGGTTGAAGAATTTAAAAGAGGTTTAGATAAGTTAATCTAAGAGGCTTCATTACAGTACTGTACTGCCAGAAATGGATTATCAGGTTAAGCCACAATATTTTACATGATGGGTGCAAGAAATGCCTACTGTTACAATCCTGTCTCCTGTAAAGGGGTCAAACATGAACCACTAGAAGTACTTGAGGTATAAACTCCTACTTGGTATGCAACAACAGTGGCATGATCAAGCTTTCCAGGCACCATGGCTATTTTATCACAGACTTTCCTTCGGCGTGCTCGCTGCTCCATTTTGCTCAGTTCTAACAAGGAATTATTTTCACCAACACTGCAGTACAAATCGGGATCCTCAAGTATATGGCGTTTGGCAGCAGTAATTCTTGTAGCAAAATCTAGTAACAAGTCACACAGCTCACGGGCATCTTGGATAGGGGGCCCTTGTCCAGAAACACCAAGTTTTAAAAGATCCTCCATCCGCAAAAGGGTAAGTTCATGACGCTGATATGCTTGAACTGTGGGAAGGCCATCAGAATTCAATGTAGATGATGCTCGTGAATGGCTTTTAGACGTATGACCAGCACTGGAGGTCCTTGGACGAATGTTTCCTGGTCTTTGGCCATGTTTAGAACTTGTGGATCCCATGGGCCTGTCATTCTTGTCGTCATCCGGAGGAAGCACAGCAAATTTTCCAACAACTGGATCAAAATTATCAGAGATACCATCAGAGGTAAGAAAGACTATGTCACCTTCTTGAACTTCTGTCATTGAACATGTAAGATTGTTAAGCTCAGGGTTACTGCCAGCAACAGGGCCAAGTGCACCCAAGGCATCCCTCATATCACGCATCAAGTGGATATCATGCGAACCTGAAATTAGATGACATAAATTAATTTTTCATGTATTTTAAATTATGTATTTGATAATATTTTCAAGTCCAAGTCTCAGGTTAATTTTACCTTGAGTAATCTCTCTGACACCATGATGAGGATTATAAACATAAGCTAAACTATCACCTACATTACAAACACATGCAACATATTTTCCAGGTACAGCTAAAGGTAGAACAAGTGCAGCAGTCAGTGTTGTTAGCATGCCTTCCTCTTGAAGAATAAGGCTGTGAGCAGCATGGAAAGACCGAAACAGGGCAACAAATACCTCCTGAAATAGATCAATACAACATGTCAAGGTGCAAGCAGTGCAAAGATAGTTCAAGAAAATACTGCATGTGTAACTTACAGTTGTGCTTGTAGGTTTGGATGGAGCTGCACTGCTAAATATGGCTTTGTTCAGATACTCAACGCAGCCATGAACTGCAGAACGTGCTGCAACACAAGCCTTCTGACCCCAGTTTACACCATCAGCAAGAGCCATTACAGCTGAGTCTTTCCGTGCAACAATGGCAAAACAATCAGCAATTGGATTCCCAGCATTTTCGCCAGTCAGAGGATGAAGTTCATATAATGTAGTTGCTGCTCCATATGCTTTTCTGTGGGGTATAGACCAATCACGAACCCCTGCTATCTCTTCAGTTTTCACAAAAGAGCTGGGTGTTTCAGTGGTTGTTGTTGCATCCTCTGAAACAAAAACAAAAAGTCAGACTGAAAGACTTGTGTGTACGTGTACGGATGGGAAAATACTAATTTATAAGTTGACACAGTGATGAGAAACATGAATTAAGCTAAATAAATCAAATCATTCCCATGCAAACCAGTACATAATTACAAATGCACATAGGTACTAGCATGCTAAAACACATCAGAAGAACATTCTTTTTCAAACTTTAAACAAATAACAAGAAAACACTTTAAAAAGGCCCTGGTGATTTGTCTAAGGTGTAGATAAAATAAAAAATAAAGATAAAAACGTATAGAGTGCAGTCCCACATTCTTAAAGTGCAATAGCGAGATCTACATTTATTCATGCAGCAGCATTTCCTCTACAGACAGGACAGACAAAATAAACAGTATTTTAGTGTTCTAATGACAATAACTACAATTTCATTTGACATACATGCACTTGTCTGCTGTGTTAAACTAACTCACCACATGTTGGTCTCCTAATATCACAAGGAAACTTTTGGCCAAGTTTTTTATTCCCCCTATTTTTTTTAAAAGGGTTTGGAGCACTCTTTGATTTACGTATGGGTAGAAATCCTTCCTCTTGAGATTCCTCTCGGCTTAAGGTTCCAGCAAAGTCCGCAGGTGGCGGTATAACATAGTCCTCAGTTACAGGAGAACAGTCAATGCCTGAATCTTCCATACTTGTTGATCCAGGAATTCTATGACTGTGGATAATTTCTTCTCCTTCTTTAGAAAAGTTTTGCAACTGTTTCCTATCCACTTTTGAATCTTCTGAGGTATCTGCATGATGAACATTTTTGCTTTCCGTCAAACTAGTGTCCTTAATTTGAACTTTAGTGATAGAGTTTTCATTCTTGGTGAAGCTAGAATCATCTAGTTTTTCTTCCTCTCTCTCTGAGATGTGTAAATCTGTCATACTTGTATGGACAGATTTAGTCCCTATAGTGAAGACAGTCCCTGCAGCTCTTATTTTCATCACAGTGTTGTCAATAGGGTAGCTGCCATCTGCAGGTCTTACACTGAACCATCTCCCATAGCCAGGACTGAAGACACACTCAGATGAAGCCACTGAAGTATTAAGAATGAAGTGTTATATGTGATATTATATTGTGTGTGTGTGTGTATGTGTGCCATTATTGTCACAAATAACCTTCCAGTTACACTTCAATAAATTCAAAAAAATATAGGAAACACATGGGCAAAAATAATTGTACATGGTGGAGTGAAAAGTAGAGGTTTCAGATATCATCAGAGGAAAGGGGTGACGACACAAAATGTCAAAAAGTACAATTTTTAATCCAAGAGAGGATATGAGTAAAACTAAAATATTCTTGAGAGATACAAGAGTAATGCTTACCTGGAGGCTTCTCACCATCAGGGTGATCCAGAATATCAATGAAATCCACATCTGGGTCGCTGGTAGTAATGTGTCGCTGCTTACGGTTGACAGAAGTTAAGCCTCCATCAGGTCCAGTCAGAGCAGCGACTATGGAGTCTGGTCCTGAAGCTGGCTCACCCAAAGCCTTGGGCGGTAGTTCATGGGGGTTGCGCCCATGTAAAATGGTAGGAGCCATTCGCCGTACATCTTGTCTGGTGGGTAAGAGTCAGTAATTAATAGATTGGCAATTGGAAGATTCTAACAGGAAGACTTAGGTGGCACAGTGTGAAAACTACTTTTACGCTACAATGATTTCGATTATGTCTGTGTTCAAAATAAATTGGAGCACTACACCTAACCTCAACAATCAGTACATGTGTAAAAGAAGGGTACTTATTAATGACGGAAATCTTACCCGCTGAGGTAACGTTGGATGAAACAACCATTTTGGGCATCTGATGTACTTCTTTGACTCCTTCCATCAGAAATTGCACTTTCCCTTTGTGGATTGGCGACAGACAGCTGACGAATAAAACTTGACACCTTTTTTCTTAGGGAAGGCATTTTTAAAGGTGAAAGTTACAACTCTTCCTCAAATCTGAATGAAATGTCTGTGCGAAAACATCCCAATTTCGTCTGTAAAGCACCCATCATCATTAACACACAAAACTTGACTTGTTTCTTTGTAATTTGGGAAGGAGCAACTGAGCAGTTCCGGATGCAACCACAAACGACAAAACAAACAAGTTGCTTCGCTGTGGAGTCGGACAGCAGACGACGACGTCTCTCGGCATTGGCTGTCAACTGACTTAAGACAGCCAATAGCCGAAGGCTGGTTCTCCCGCCCTTACTTCGAATTTCTTTGGGTGATAAACAAAGGAGAGGCACTGCTTTTGCTTAAGGTTATTTTATTTTACCGAGTTAGGTACACAATATACATTACATAAAGATTACTCGGAGGTCACTTACAACTAGGCAGTATGCTCATTATCGTTAATGGAATTTGAATTGTGTTTAGCCATTTCATACAACTGACTTCTTTTACGCCATAACTCAGTCTGCAATAATCTTCGTCTCTCTTCTGAAGCTTTCCTTTCTTGCACTATCTCAAGAGAATCAGGAGTAACCAATCCCTCTGTTATTTGATAGTAAACTACTGTGGAATCGGCATCTTTAAAGGCCAAAATCAGTCTAAGAAGAAATACATACATTAAATAAGATAAGTACAATAGGTGACAATTAAGGATCAATTGCTAGGAGAGAAGAACTGCATACCCTCGATTCTTTGTGGAAAGACTGTTTTGAACTTTTTCAAGCCAAGCAGGTGAAACAGTATATGATGCTGGCAAAGGTAAATAAATGTTTGTCTCAATATCACTTACATTTTCTCTTCCAGTTAGATAGATTATGTCTAGTGCCTTACAGAACTGATATTGGAGATCCCATACCGCCCTTACTGTAAGATAATAAGTATTTTATAATAATTGCTGGACAAGTCTCTAGGACGACATATACTTTCACCATACTGACCTTCCGACAAGTCCATGAACACAGCAAATGCAGCTGGTGGTATGCGCTGATCACCACATCCAAAGGCCAGCAGATCTTTCAACTTTGACACAATAAATATAGAATCACTGAGCATCAAAGAGAAAAAATAACATACCGTCCATTTGTTGAGCCAAGAGTGAACTTCTTACCACAGGATGAATGTTTCCGTTATTCATCTCGAATGAAATTAACCTAGAACATTGTGCTTATATTTGATAGTAATATGCAAACGATTCGGCTGTAATCGGAGGAAAACTTCAGTAAAGGACCCTCTTATCCTCTCCAAGAAACTGGCATGTGTATTTAAATTGTTTGTTTTGATTATGACGGTTTACATATTTTTCATACAAAAAATGATCCCTTTCGGCGAGGCAGCGAGGCTACAGTAGGCTACAGTACAGAAGGGCCGTGATCCGTGATCCAGACCACCGACCACCGTCGTGGCGCTATCTAGCGTCAATGGTCTCAGAAAACGGACTGGATGGACTGGAGGGTAGAGTGATCGGTGAGCTCCCTAGGAACACCCGGAAACAACGCCTTCAGGGGGGCTTCTCGGGAACCGCGAAGTGAAAGTGAACGTGAGCGTGAGCTCGTTGCAAACGTAAACGAACAGGTGAACGCGTTCGTTCGCACGTTCACGGCTCACTCGTTCTCTCACTTATTTCCCGAGGAGCCTCGCAGCTGAAACAGGGTGAAGCGGGGCTGGTAGGAGACGTCGGTACGTCGGTCGGACGTGCATGTCGGGTAGGTACTTGGGCCGCTTACGCGGCACGCCGGGAGTCGGGGGTCGGTATGCATATGTCGGACACGCTTGTTGCACCTTGTTGGGAGGTCGAGACTGGACATGTCATCTGTGTGGCTGCATAAAGAGACGTCCTCGACCAGAAAGTACTCCCGACATTCGCCGTCACGAACCTACCAAAGTTCAGCTTAGCCTATGCAGGCTCTCATGGCGCCTGATAGCTAGGCAACATCTTGTATGCAGTGCATGCGTGTAGTGCGGGCTGGCCTACCTCGAGCCTCGCAGGCGCCTCGTTCGACGTACACCCTGGACGATCCCTTTGGTTTTGCGTCCTTCTCTAGCATCAGGAGCGGATTAAGGGGGGAGGGGCGGGGGGGCGATCGCCCCCCCCCCTGTCGTCTCTAGAGAGCCGCCTGAAAGGTAGGCAATTTGCGCCACAAAACCCCTGTATGTAGGCAACCGACAGTGCATTGCCCCCCCCCCCCTGTCAGCCGGACCTTAATCCGCCACTGTCTAGCATCACCGCGGCTCGGGGAATGGGAAATGGGGCAGTATTTTGCCTCGCTGCGTTTGCCCGATTCGGAGGTAATTCTGGTGCGTGCTGTGGAGTTTTTACGCTAGTGCATCAGACAGATTTCACCTCCACTGTCACTGTGGGTGGTGTTTTTTGGGTGTGGAGGTTATTTCAAACACGGCATTCCCTTCCAATTCGTTTTGGAGGATTTGTCTGTGGGAGCATCGCACCCGATCGCACCACACCCTTTAAGATCTAGTTTGCTGGTCTAGCTTGGTTTTCTTTTTCCCTATCTAGAGTTAAAGCTAGCTCACCCCTTAACTTTAGCCTGTGACGTAAAGGATTCAAATTTCATTGAATGCGGTAATACGCATCAATGGAGAGAGAGTTTGGGCGCATTTCAAATGATGTGTTAATGTGTTCAGTCGCGCGGACGGCATTTTTGAACTGAAAATGCTTACATCCGGTTTCGTGAATGTACCTCATTTGCCCTTCGTGCTAACTCCAAATTACACGAATCATTCGCAACCATCCGACATATATCAGGCACCTCATCTCAGTTTTGCTGACGCCAACGGTGTTGAACGCTAGCTGTACGTCGAGTTCTAAGCGGAAGGGCGGCGCGCTTCATCCACAAAAGCCGGAACGGGACCTGCGGCTGGTTTACGTATTGTGAATATTAGTTATTTAAAATGTGGTCTTCGAAGTGAATTTGTGAACTAACACCTGCAGACAAGATACAACGACAATTTCATTTTCGCATCATCAAGGCTTCATCAGGTCCGGCCGGGTCCTGCCCACGCAGAACGCAGTTGCATGTGGAGTGGAGTCAAGCTTCACTTCCTCCGCCCCAAATGCGTCAATAAGTGGATTGGGTACGCCCCCTAACCCCGCTGTCCCTTCCTTTCAGTGATTAAAAGATGTCATCCAAACTCCCAAAGGGCATCGCAGGCAAATCTATCTACCATTTTGCGGTTAGTTACACTATAAATTAACAAGCAGGCATATCCTTCGAACGAAGTTATATTTTATAAATTTTGTATTGTTTCTGTTATCTATTCTTTGGGATCATCCATAAAGTACGTCTGTCGCTTGCCGTTTAGGCACTGCTCAGTTTAGCCAATGCAAGTTCTCGTAGCGCCTGGCAGATAGGCAACATCTTCCCTGCAGTGCATGCGTGTACTGCGGAGTAGCCTACCCCGAGTCTCGCAGGCGCTAGGCTCCGCTGATCTGAGAAAAACCAACGTATTTTCTGATTTTGATAGGTCGTTTTTCAAAATTTCGATTCCGCGTGCACATAGTTATTCAAACGCGCCGTGCAGTATTACATTGTTTTATTATGCGCACACGTCGTACATCCTTACCGACGCATGCCTGCAAAAGTGGCGTGTACCTGTAAAAGGACTTTGAGGAAACTCTGGAAATGTAACCCACTTTCCAAAGTTATCCATCTGAAAGGAAACAGTGGCAAAAAAACCTAAACCTGAACATTGATGATAGCTGATTTATCATAGTGTACATTCCATGACAACATTTCATAAATAATGATTGCTGATATTTCAGCTTACAATGTACACTGTTGAGTTTTTAGAGTTTTGAAAACAGCATGCTGGTCGCCAACCGTGTGCGTGCGGAGGGGCGAACTTGCGATTTCGCGCCTCGTGGGGGGGACTCTAATCGATTTTTAAAATGACCTCCGCATCTCTCAAAAGCAAACGTTTTTAGTGTGCCGCCGCTTCAGTAGTCGCTGTGATCTCCCTCCTAACTGGATCTACTGCGGATCGACAGATATCAGAATTTTGGGTAGGGTATATCTAAGATTCAACCAAGACTTTATCTGCGATGCGTAATTTGTCTGAGAGTATCCGAGTTGGTCAATAAACTGCAGCTCGTCCAATATCATTCAGGGTCCATTTAAGGCAGTTCCAAGCCACCTAGAGGACTGCCCAGAGGAGTCGAGGCCACGGCGGAAAGTTTACAACGCATCTGCCAGAGTTTACCGTGATCGACATAACGTGGACGTGTGGCACTTGACTGGCAATGCAACATCATATATTGTAGTAGACGATAACATAACCGTGAGTCGACAGCTTCATAACTTTCCCCTTTGAGCGAGATTTTTCATTTTGTGACTAGAATACCTTTAATCGCAAACTGAATTTCGATAAATAATGGTTATCATGCCCTTTAGCATGGGAATAAATAAAGAACAGTTAACGCAAAAAATTCAGTAAAAGTATCGCTAAACGGATTTCAGTGGGGCCTGCTTGGATAAGCGTGGGTCAGCGTAGTGGGTGCATTTTACGCGTGTTGAACATTTGTTTTAACTTTTGCAGATGGACGCTATAATTGATTCTTGGGGCTCAAATGGAGGCTGGAAGATGAATTTCTACCGTATGCATGTGCCAAAGGTTTTTACCTTCTGGCGTACCGGCTGGCCGAGCGTGTGGGGGAAAATAATGTCCGCAGCTTCACTACCACCTGATCATGGCACCACATTTCCACCAGTATGTATATAATGGACGCCAGAAAAAAAATCACTTTTTTGCATATGAAACAAAAACGTTGTTTCGCCATAGGAGACGGGTCCTACGAGAAAAATGCTCAACTAAAAACGTGATCCAAGAAACTTTGTTAACGTCGTTCTTTTTTTATTCTATCGCGAATAAAGAAGAGCCACAGACGAGGATACAGAAACATAATTTTAGTGCAATTCATTTATTTTTTACAGGGAAACTACTCAATAAAGGACATAACTTCGGATTTTGACGTACATTATCCTAAGAAAATATTTTACGGTAAATTTCGCCTGACTGCTCAAATGAAGAATAGTGTCACTGGCGAAGTACTTGCTTGCGGGCGTGCAATTTTCAGCTTTGTTCCAAAGACCGCGAAAACAGTGGCGGTCCATTCCAAACCAAAGTAATCGTTAAAGTCGTTAGTCATACTCTCATATAGCCGGTTAGTCTGTTCACGAGAATGAATATGTTTGACATTTAATTCTGTGTAAAATTGCTACCCCTTGAACAATGTGAAGTTCTCGAATTTTACGAATGAATCAATAGCACTATTTCCGCTCTCGCAACCGACAAAGAGGCAGCTGAAGGTCTGCGAAGCAATTTTTCCAACCATGTGGAAAAGTTGTTGGGGGGGGGGTCTAAATATTATGTGGTCCAGAAAGGGTCAGGATCCTCATCGGAGTCCAAGGGGATTCTATGATATTTGTGCCCCGGGGTAAAAATATCATGGGGTCTCCTTGGTCTCCAACGACCGATCCAATCCCCTTGGAACCCATTAATATTTGGATTTCTCCCCCACCTCAATTGTCGGCGTGGTTTCTGAACGGTTTCCGTGCGCCCGAGCGGCAGGCAGCCCAACCACCACTCTTGCTCGAACGCGTGTGGGGCCGGGGCGGACGGGCCTGGCCGGGCTGTGAGATAGGGCCAGAAGGGACACCTCGCTGCTGCTCCACCGCTGCTCGCCGCGCGCACAACAAGCGGGCCGACTTTTATGAATATCTCGAGATAAAACGACGGTTGGCGCTGGCGGAGCGGGCGCTGAGGAGGGCCGGGCGGGCAGTTTGCTGTTGTTTGTTTGCCTGCACGCGCATAGCGCTGGCCCGCGAACAGCATGCGGACTGACGTGGAGGATGCGACGTCCAGGCCGGCTGACCCCGGCGACGGCGGGGGCAGCGGCAAACCGACGGGGAGAGAGACGGCCACCGCCGTGGAGCACCCCACATCGTAAGGAGTCTGTTTAGCGCCCGCAGAAAGGTGCGTTCTCCTTTTTATTTGCACAATTTTTGTGGTGAGGTGACGTGTTCGGCATTCCTGCAGATACTTGGAGACGCTCGTGCACTTGCTCAAGGGTAGCGTGGGCTCGGGGCTGTTCGCCATGGGAGACGCCTTCCACAACGCGGGGCTCATCGCCGGCCTGCTGTTCACGCTCTTCACCGGCACCGTGTGCGTTTACGCCCAGCACCAGCTCGTAAGTCAACGCGGGGGCCCCACCCCCGCTGCTCTGGGTACCGCCCTCCGCCGCCCTGTTCGCAACCGGCCGGCTGCTTTTCCCCGCAGATCACGACGTCGGCCGTGGTCTCTAGCCGTCTGGGCATGGCCTACGCCCCGGACTACGCCGAGACGGCTGAGCTGGCGCTGCGCATGGGGCCGGGATTCTTCCCCAGGGTGGCCGTCGTGGCCAGGAGGCTGATCAACACCCTCCTGTGCATCACCCAACTGGGATTCTGCTCCGTGTACTTCGTGTTCGTGGCCAGCAACGTTAAGAAGGTAGCCACGCCCTGACAGCCTGCAGCCGCATCTGATCCCGATAACCATGGAGCGATCTGACCACTAGGTGCTGGACCACTACATCAGCGTCGACATCGACGAGCACGCGTACATGGCCATAGCTGTAGTGCCTCTGCTGCTACTCTCTTGGGTGCGCAACCTGAAGCACCTGGCACCGGTGTCGCTCGCTGCCAACGTCACCATGGTAGCCGGTGAGCATGGTGCTCTAACTGCCCAACCCGTAACCCGCCCCGCCCTCGAGTCCTAACGTGAGCTTCCGCACCCAGGCGTGGTTGTCACCCTGTACCTGTGCTCCAAGGACGGACTGCCCCCGCTGTCCGAGCGGCGCCTGGTCGCCGACTGGAACAGGTGGCCTCTCTTCTTCGGCACAGTGGTGTACTCCTTCGAGGCGATCTGTATCGTAGGTCCCCCTTCCTTTTATTTCTGTTCCGTACCGTGAGAGTATTTTCACAAGCGGAATATTGTCGCTTCATCGCGCAGGTGATGCCGCTGAAAAACGAAATGAGGAACCCCAAAGACTTCTCCCGGCCGTTGGGCGTCATGAACGTGGGCGCTGTGTTGACCGGCGTACTCCTCGTGTCCGTGGGGTTCATCGGCTACCTTAAGTTTGGCGATGCGGTCAAGGGCTCGCTCACCCTGAACCTGGACGACAGCGTGTAAGTACCTCTTTCACGCCTGTGCTCTCTGAAGTTCGCCGCCGCCAAGATTCAACTACGCCGGGTGGTGGCCGTGTTGGACGTGAACGTGAACCATACCTCCCTGTCGCAGTCTCAGCCACGTGTTGATGGTCGGACTGTGCCTGGCCATCATGGGCACCTACCCGCTGCAGGCCTACGTGCCCGTGGACATCCTGTGGCCGCCGCTGAGCCGGCGCCTCGGCGGGTCCGAGCCGTGCGGCCGGCACCCCGTGCTGGCCGAGCTGGGCTTCCGCTCGTGCCTCGTCATCTTCACATGTAAGTTGACGGCGAGCGGGACGCGTCCCCGACATTTTTATGGAGCGGCGTCCTTGCGAGCGCGGGTTTGACTGCAGGCCCGGCGGCGGGTGCGCTTCGCAGACGCGGCCGTCGCGTCGGTGAGGTGGCGGTGGCGGTGGCGACGGTGGCGGTGGCGGCGGTGGTGGCACGCCAGCCAGACGGCCGCGTGTGAGAGCCGGAGATGTTCCAGACCGGCCGGTAGAAAGTGCGAGCAGCAGACATCCCCGACCGCTTTCAAGTTCGCAAATTATCGTAACCCCGGGTGGCGCGGCGGGGTACCTTCGGCGCCCCCCGCGCGGCCTCAGTGCCGGGTCACCGGCCTCCGCTCACAGCGCCCTGTATGTATGTGCCCGCAGTCCTGCTGGCGGCGGTGGTGCCGCGCCTGGGGCTCTTCATCTCGCTGGTGGGCGCGCTCTCCTCCACCTCGCTGGCCTTCTTCTTCCCGCCGCTGCTGGACTGGGCGTGGCGCTGGCGGGACGGGCTCTCCGCCTGGAGGCACGCCGTCAACGCCTTCATCCTGCTCATGGGGGTGCTCCTCACCGCCTGGGGCACCTACTCGGCGCTCCGCGAGATCATCGAGGCCATGGCCGAGGATCGGAGCTGAGAGGACGGCGTGGAGCGGCGGGGCCAGGTGAGCCCCCTTGGACCGCAGCTCGGTGACTGACTCGCGCCGCGCCTCAGCTGGCTGGGCTCGCGGGCTGTGCCGGCTGATGACCCCCCCAAGATAAGCGAATTTTCGCCGTTTTGCAAATCCCCGGAGCTGTCGACGGTGCGGGTCTTATGATTGGTGGGCCTCGCCCATTCTCCACGCGCGAGATTTCGACCGCAATAAATTCACGTCGCGCACTGCCGTGCGGTGTCGGGTTCACTCGGTTCGGTTCACTCCCGCGGTGGTTGGTGTTGTACCCCCGCCGCGGGCCGCCGCGATCGCGCCAGACAGCTTGTCGCTCGGCGGCGCTCTAGGCGGCCCAACCGGACGAGCGGGTCTCGCGCCCAAAAGAGACTAAAACAAAAATCTGCTCGATTTTCACGCATGGTGACAAAAAAGGAGGAATAAGGCAAGTAGCGACTCGGCACATTAATGCCCCCCAATAAATTGCTGGCGATCTGATGGTGATAGCCCCCGCCGGGCAGAGCGCGCCGTTTTCGGCGAAGCGAAGACACGGTCCATTATGGAAGTTTTGTGGCCGCGTATTCTGGCGACCCCAGCCATGTGTTCTCGGGTCAAATTGTGGGAAATTAATCGCAAGACTAACACAACATATCTACGGTACGGTCGGTTGGTCATAGTCCAGAGCATACAGTTTTCTTTCAACTTCAAATAAATAATAGCCCCTGCTGATCATTCATATCCCAGCCCAAGATACAAATCATACATTATTTCCCACCGTCTTCGTGTGGTTTTGAAGGGTGGGACTTCCCTCCACTGTAAGGCAGCGCGACGAGTGGGCGCGTTCACGAGACGTCTTTCCGATTGAACTAATCGTGTGTACTTCTTACGCAGGCTACGGCTCTGCGCGACGCGGCGGCTCTCCGACCGTACGCAGCAGATCCCCCCGCTTCTCACGACGATTTGCGACTCCGGTCAGGCTTGTTGCGTAACGCACAGGTCGGCGCTTTGAGGTGCTCCCCGCACGACGTGGACCGGGTTTGGCCGCGTCCTCTTCATGTCGGCTGCCGGAGAGGAGAGTCCCCCCGGCCCGGACGGCGGACAGGCAGACGGTGGACTCTAACTACGCCGTTCAAGGTCGCGGGCACGAGCGGCGGCGGTATGCCCCCGCAGCTCCTCTCCTGGCTGGTGCAGTGCCTTCATGTTTTCCTACACAATTTATCGCCGTATTGAGTGCCGCGCCGCCGCCATATCGCGCAGTGTGGTGGGTCAAACACACGGCGGCCGCGGTGGCCGCAGCCGAGCGTGCGAACAAACCGCGGGAATATGCCGCGGCCGCGCGCTCTCCGGTCCGGCCCGGGGGGCGCCACGGGGGCCCGGGGGCTGCCGTGCCGAGGGCGCAGATGGGGAGGATGATGACCGCGCGCTGCCCGGCCGGGTCGGCTGGGGGCGCCACGCGGGGCCCGGGGGGGCTGGAGCCGGCCGGGCGGCTGGACCGCGCCCCGCCGCGGCCCCCACCCCTGCCCCGCACCGCTCCGCGGCCGCCGTCGTCTCCATACAACACGGCGCGCGCCGCGTGCTTCTCGTGCAGTCCGCCGCCGGCCAGCCTCCAGTGCGCTGTCCACGCTCCCGCTCCAGCAGCCCCGAGCTCCCTGACATGCTGTTGCCGCTCCTCTTCGTGGCGTGCGCGCTGCTCGCGCCGGCGCGCGCCAAGGTGTACGAGCGGTGCGAGCTGGCCCGCGAGCTCATGCACTCGCACGACGTACCCCGCGACCAGCTGGCCGTGTGGGTGTGCATCGCGCGCCACGAGTCCGAGTACAACACGACGGCGGTGGGCCACGTCAACGGCGACGGCTCCGGCGACCACGGCATCTTCCAGATCTCGGACCTGTACTGGTGCTCGCACCAGGGCCGTGGCAAGGCGTGCGGCATGGCGTGCAGCGAGCTGCTCGACGACAACATCGCCGACGACATGCAGTGCGCCAAGCGCATCCACCGCGAGCACCAGGGCCTCAGCGGGAACGGGTTCAACGCGTGGGCCGTGTACGCGCAGCACTGCAAGCGGCCCGAGCGCGCCGCCAAGTACCTGGAGGGGTGCTTCTCCGGGACGGGCAACGAGATCCAGCAGCCGCACGAGGCGTACGGGCTGCCGCCGCCGGCCATCACCGCGCCGCCGCCCCGCGCCCGGCCCACCGCCGCGCCCGTCGCGCGCCCCGTCAGGCCGGCCGCGTCCTACGGCCTGCCGCCCCCGGCCGCCCCGGCCAGACGCTGGTACGCCCCCGCCGCCCCGCGCCCCGCCGTCGTCGCGCCGGTGCCGCGCTTCAGCTGGCAGGCCGCCCCCGCGCCGCCCCCGCGGCCCACCCTGCGGTCCAACCCTCAGCGCGTGGCGGCCGACCCTCGCAACTTCTGGAACTGGCAGCGAGGCGCCACGAGGCGCTGGTTCTAGACCTCCGACGAGTGCTGGACTCCCCCAGCCCAGCGTGGGGCTAGCAAACACTGGTGCTAAAGGACGGCGCCCAGCGCCTGGCGGGGCCTCCTACCCACCCGCGCACCAGCTGCGACGGGACTGCCACTGTGATACGTGTAGCTTAGTGTCTCTTTACGGGGGCTGTGTTGCTTTTTTACACATTTCCTGCATCAGGAAGCCGACTGGATAAAGGCTGTCTCTAGGGTAAAGTCGCCGCCGCGGTGATCTCAGCTGAAGCTGCCATAGCCATAGCCGTGTGCAGAATGAGTGATTAATTAAAACATGTTGCGCTCGCAAGAGTGTTGGTTGTGTCGGGTCCTCTGCTCCGTGCAACGCGACGCGGACCGGTCTGCGGGACCAAGGACTCCCGCAGGGAGAGGGGAACACGGAAGGTGTAATCGGCCTCCCTTCGATATTGGCCGTGCTGATTGTAATTTTTTTTACGAAAAGAAAAATAAAGAGTTACGATCTAGCCTGCTTGGCGTTCCTTTACTTATGCCCCTTCAACTTCGACAGGCAACGAACGTCGCTCTCAACCCCTTCTGTAGTGTGTGACTTGTGGAGTAGATCAGTAGAAAAACCAGTCTGGTAAACAAAATATCATCATTTATTTAATATTTATGCAATGATTGAGCCGAGGATTGAGCAATATTCAGAACAGTGATGGGTTGACAATCGCGGAGGAGTGTGCGTACCTCACGGGAGGTGTGGCGTGGCTCAACGACAGTTGTCTTATCTCACTTTTCAGCCGCACTTTTGTTTACCGGATAACAGCAACTTAGAGAGCACTTGACATTTGGACAGGCGAATTTTTCCACACACCCTTATTCTTATCTACACCTTGCTATACGTCAGAGTGGATGCCTGCTGTTCTACATGGATAGGTCGTAAGGTCTCAATTTATACAGGGTGGGTGTTCCAAGCTGCACCCCTTTCGGGTTACACTGTGCGGCACGTAAGCGTGCGGTTGGCCCGGGCTTACCTGCCGGCTCTCACAGCGGCGCCGTACGACCCCGTGCGAGTATGCAACCGGTACGCACGCCTGCATCCGGTACAGTGTAAAATAAAGGCTTAGAACACCCACCCTGAAAATGCACACGTATTAGTCCTGTGTGAAAATATTGATCTGTCGCTCTCAGCGAATTATAAAGTTAAAACACAGCTCATCTGATATTTGTCTTGTAGCATGGTCAAATGTACGTAAAGACTTAAAAACTAAGTACACATTTAAAATCTAATACAAACAGATTGAGCATATAACGGATCGCGAGTATCGCCTTAATTTATAGCGGGTCACTAGGAACCTGTTTTGCGAGCTTGCCTCCGGATTAGGTGCCTAATGATTTTGGCAAGAGAAAATACAATAAAGTCGTATTTACAATGAAAAAAAAAAGAGGATAAAAATATATTGGTCCATCAATGTGGCACTGCGTGCGCCTTATTTAAACCACATCATACTACGAAATACGGGAATCGAAAACTCCGACATCGCGTAGTTACCTTGAAGGAGATTGAGGAAATGGAAACTCCTTCCGTAATCCAGGATCAGACTCATTTTAAAAGAGGACCGGAAATTGATTTACCCGCGAGCGACCCGCAATCTATGCAGGTTCATTCGCCGCAGCGACCAAAAACTGGCCGCTGCAACTCCTTACACTAACTTAAATAAACACTCAGAAAAAATAATAACATCACAGACAATTGCTTGGATTTGTTGGCACGGAGCGGCTCAGTCAAACGAAGTCTCGTCCCACGACACGTCGTTCTTCAAATGTACCCTGTTTTCTGCGTCATGTCCGTCCGCTTCACGGCTGGGGGCGGAGAGCGCCTGGTCCGAATAAGCGGCACCACAATACTTGGCTTCCGCCGGTCTCGAAGCGTCACGCTGGCCGTCGCGCGCGGCGCGGACAGCCCTGAGATCATCGCCCACCCACCGGGACCGGGCCCATGGCCCAGAGGTCCAGGAGGTCCAGGAGGTCCAGGAGGTCCCGGAGGTCCCGGAGGTCCCGGAGGTCCCGGAGGTACAGGGGGTCCAGGAGGTCCAGGAGGTCCCGGGGGAGCCTGCCGCCCTAGACGCCGTTGCTGCCGGCGTGCAGCCTGGTCTCGGCGGTGTCGGCGGGCGCGGAGGGGTGCTTCAGGTTCGGGGTGATGAGCACCACGTCGCCCGCCCCGCCCGCGCGTCCCACCACGGGAGCACTCGGCCTGCGGACAGACAAGACGCCGTTGACGGCGGCGCTCAAGGCGGCGCTGCAAGAGACCAACAAACTCCAGCAGCACAGCATCTCTTCCGAGAAGATACGCGGGGTCGATCAACGCGGAGAGGGGCAACAGTGATAGCGGATCTTCTCCCCTCCGCTGGAGAAAAGTCATTAGCCCGCGGGGCGCGAGCCGGCCAGAGGTCGATCAGGGGAGCAACAGTGAGAGCGGCTCATGCGTGTCTCCGCTGGAGCAATTGGATAGATGTGTCACCACCAGCCTAATTCTCACAGCCCCCTCGTTGAGTTCAGGGTTGAAATTCCACGGGGGCTGAGAGGAGAGCCCGAAAAATGTGCAAAAGCCCTTACCTTTGGGGCGATGATGGTTGTGACACCGGCCGCACAGTCCGCCTCCTCATCCTCATCACGGTGAACATGACCGTGCCCGATGTGAACATGACGGCGCCCAACGCCAGCATGGCGTACTTGATCGCGTTCAGTATCTCGAGCTTGCTGAAGAGGAGCCCGTTGAGCAGGTCGAGCAGTTCAGTGTTGAGCATTGCGCCCTGGAAGCAAGCGGGTAAGAAGGGGAGGTTACTCGGCGCGTTCTAAAGCTTCTTGGTCACACTATGAACCATGAAATTTTGCCACCCACCTCGTACATCCACGCGACAGGAAAAAGTGTATCCCGCACTCCAGAGGTGAGGTTAACGCCATCCACCTGTTTCATCTGAAAGTTGAGCTGCATCTTTTTACCCCCCAACAACGGAGTTCCTGTCATCTGAAAATATCAATCAAAACTCCTGTCATTCTCAACAAATGAGCTCATTTTTACTGAAAACAGAGTGAGTCTCGGGTCGTCAACCGCACCGGTTCAATGTCGAGCTGCATCCGGTGCAGCGATTCCTGCGGGTTTAGCCCCTCGACGCCGTTCTGGTACACCTCGTCCGCCTGGTAGAAGTGCGGGTAGGACACAATGACTGGGATGCCTGCGGACAGAGCATAGCATGATCGCATTTAGTCTATCTGCGGGGTGTAAGACTGGCTTCATGAAGGACAATAAGAACGGCCATCTCGGCCCGGTACCGTCGTAGTCGCAGTACTAGGGCGGCCGAAAGGCTGCCTACTCTCCGGGGTAGCCACAACCAGGCGGCCGTACGCACCTTGGCAACCGGACAGATCCATGGCGCCCTTCCGCAGGCATCCGTTGTTCTTGGTGAGGCCGCTGGCCGACTGCGGGCAGAAGCAGTAGTTGTTGCCGTTCTGCTCGGGGCTCGCCATCACCTCCCAGTTCGGCGCGAACCGGTAGCCGTCGATGCCCTGGAAGCTCGTGTCCTGCACGTACTTCAACGCCATTGACCTGCGGGAGAAGGGCGGGAGACATGATCGACAGGCTGATGTGGGCGAACTGCGCACCGCTTTACGTCGAAAATATACGAAAGGCTTCAACTTCGGTGCATTTATTTTTTTTAACTTCGACGAACTTTGGACAACTTTTGAGAAAGAATTTTAATGAATTTCGACCATAAATGGATATTTCGACACAAGTTAGGAAACTTCGACTCGTTTCAGATTTCTCGGGGCCCTATTCCCCCTCGTACTTCACTCACCTGCAGATGTCGGTGGAGAAGACGCTGATGGTGGTCTCCTTGGTGATGTAGGGGCTGAAGATGTCGCCCTGCGTGCCGTTGATCTTGTTGCAATTCGGGCCTCCCCACGCGGTCACGCTGCTCTTGCCCTCCCAGGCCGTGATCTGGCCCAGCTTCTCGGGCTGCGTGATGCCCGTCTGGACCGTGTACAGGCCGTCGTCGGTGTTGTTTTTCTGCGGGCAGGGAGTCAGAAAGATGACGAGTTGACGAGGTTGGGCGGTGGCGGCTCGGTGGAGAGCGGACGGGCGCACGAGCTCACCATGCCGAAGAGTGAGAAGAGCACGTCCCCGTTGTCCGCCACGCGCACGGAGGGCACCTTGATCCGCTTGAAGGAGGAGCAGGTGATGAGCGCGGCGAGGCGCGGCTTGATGGGGATGCCCGCGTTTGCGCGCACGGCGCTCGCCAGGCCCGCGGCCGCGGACTCGCCCTCCAGGCTGCCGCACTTGATGCGCACCCCGCGGAACAGCAGTTCGTCGGCCGTGGTCGTGACGAATAGGCCTCCGGGGAACAGCAGGGGCGCGGCCGCGTCCACGAACATGGTCCCCTTGGACAGGACGGGGATGTTCTGCATGATGCCCATCATGCTCTGCAAGCAGTTTGAAAGTCACGGTCAGCGCGCGCCGGGAGGTTAGGCAACCCAACCGACACCTCCGTCGGACCCGGCCCAGGCCCTGGCGGAAGGTGGAGAGAGGGGGGGGGGGCGGTTGTTTTTGTGTCCGTCATTCATAACAGCTCCGGAACTGCCAATATCGTCTGCATGAGTTCAATTACAACCTGATTACAACCACAACGTGTGACCTTTACATGCGGGAGAGGCGCGGGTCAGCGTTCGCAGAACTCACCAACAGCGCTGGGTTCACCACTGTCACCACGTCATCCGCCTTGAAGCGACCCGACAGCTCCTGGTCAAATATGTGGATAAGTCTCTGGCGGTAGGTCACGGTGTCGTCCTTCTCGTTGTACTTGATATCGAACTTGTGCCGGTGCTGCCTGCAATGCGGAGCAAGACATTTATAGCGGTGCTTAAGGTGAAGGTCGACCATTCGCTTTTGGCGTTGAGAGAAAAAGTGAGGAACAACCAGCATCGAAATCCCAGCGGATACTCATCCAAATATGGTTTGGAAGATACGGTTCTAATTGTGAACTAGATTGAAATTGATAACTGGTTCCGGTCCTGGTTTTCCGACTTCTTCTATGAAGAAGTTGCCCGATAAGAGGAACAAAAAGAAGGTAGCACTTAGGAGGTGGCGTGGCGTAGGGCCGTCCCGAAACAAATCGTAACGCCGGCGACCATACTGTGTTTTGTCGCAAGTGGATGTGTGATAATGAATCTAGTTTCGTAGAATCTTTCAAGAAAAATTGGGTCCATACTAGATCGGCGTAACCATCTTGTGTCAAAAAGTGCTTCTGCAAAGTTTGGCTTCGGAAAGGTAAGTTTATACAATCCTCTAAACCGTC